TGGGTTGGGGCGTCGGGATGTGTGGGTTAGGGTAGGGTTCTTGGCGTGGAGGCGACGTACGGCTGGTTGGCTTCGGCTTACATTATCTGCTGTAACGCATCACGGCAGCTAAAGCAAGAAATCCATTGTTGCCAAGTCCTCGGATGCGAGGAACGTGTGGGCAAGCCCAGGGGTCTCCTACCTTGAAGAATTGTTCAGTTCGTATTCGTGCGTGGGGCTGCAAAAAACCGCTGTGCGCCGAGCTTGTTAGGAAAAGGCTTCATAAGCAGTAAACGCATGAAGAAGACCCTTTGTAGCAGCATGGCATGTGATGCGCGTGTGACGTGAAATTGTGGCGGATCTGTGCAGTCGGAGGAACGGCTATGCCCTCTGCCGGCAGGGTGGATGTGCCTTCGCAAGCAAGTGGCCGCTGTTGTATGGGCAGGCGGGGATACCTGCGTGCATGAATGCAAGTGCAATGGCGGCAGGATGGCGGTTCCCCCGCGCATGGGTGCCGGTTTTGGAAAGGATGGGCAGCCCGCGTGTTTTTGCCTTCTAGTTCGCGATGCGTGTGTGCTACGCTAAACTGCAGCGGAAGGGTGTCGTTAGTGCAATATTTACTGCCCCCGTCTACATTGTTTCGTACGTATCTAGGGTGAGGAATAACCGCTAGAGTATCTCTCCTCGTGATAACAGAGTGCATAGTAAAAAACATTAATAGTATTTTGGGTGACGTGTCTGGCCAGCTTGCCTGCCCTGCGCGGGGACGTCAGATAATAATATGCGAATTGCCCTGCACAGAGTCCTGGTGACCCATGGGTCACATTGGTCGTAATTAACTGTCTTTACAATGTATACTTGAAGGTGTAAGGTAACTTAATAGCTTAGTGCGCTGCTCCGTGGTTGGTCGCCAAACTTCTTAGCAACTTCGAAGCACATATGGTAAGAGAAAATATCCATGCAATGTGTGGGATCTTTACGGATAGCTACTAATACACGGAATTACTGGTTCGTAGGAAAACTAGAGGAAAGGAGTGGCTATACCATATCGTGTACGACTATGGCAAAGTCCTTTCATCACCATAATGGCCTTCAGCGGGCAATTCCATGCACCAAGCAAATGCACATCGGTACACCATCATGTTAATCGGTACGATGCATGTTACTGGTATATTAAAAAGAGAGAGGGCAACATGGTTAAAACGGCATAGGACATCGCTCATAAGTATTAACCAACACCATGGTCGCCAGTCCTAAGGACGGCAGTGTCGTGCCTTTCCGGACCAAGACGCCCACTCCTGCATCTGCTATGCTTGTCACCGAGAGGCAGGTACCACTCATCCTCCTGGACCGCAGCAGGCACCAAGATGTCCTGAGGCCATGGGATTTGGGATTATTGCGATCAAGGTATAGGGCGCACACGTAGATGTCGTCACGGGCTGCTGCAGCCATAGAAGTAGTCGCACAATTTGCAGCGCACGCACGCCAGCACCAACCCCGCACTACACGTGCAAACACTCCAGCTGACATTGATGCCACATACCAATTGTCCTACTCACACTAGCTGCAATGTAGGATAATACCGGTAGCGGTTGTCATGGGTTGTCCTTGCCTTCAATTCCACGGCACTTGCAGCACCCGGCCGCTGTCCTCCGGTTGCAACGTGCTTATTGCTCAGTAGCGCCGTCACCTGGTGTTGTCTGGGGTAACAGGAGAGGAAAGGAGGGTCATATGGAACACAGGTTAGGAGGTGGAGTACGAGCAAGAGGGGGGACTCGGCAGGAGGTAAAGTGCATGTATGCGGTACACGTGCGTCAGCACAATCGGCCACTAGTGCATCTTTAACATGGGTTTGGGCGTCGGGACGTGTGGGTTAAGGTTGGGGTTCTCGGTTGGTGTGGAGGCGACGTACGGTTGGTTGGCTTCGGCTTACATTATCTGCTGTAACTCATCACGGCAGCTAGATCAAGGAGTGCATGTATGCGGTACACGTGCGTGTAGAGCTGAGATGTTGGTCAGGTGGCCAAAAGGCACACATGACTAGGGGCAAGCAAGCTAAACGTAAAGGAGATGCCAGCCGCGCTTGCTCATGCTCAACCTTAGAAGAGAAGCTTTGCAGGTGCTGGACACGACGACCGTATTGCAGGTCCTTATCAGTGTTAGAGCAAATACTCATTGCACCCCGCAGGCGTCGCCTGATGCGCGCAACTATGCGCGTCTTCGTGATAGCAACACGGTCGTTGTTGTGGCCAAGGCTATGCGGTGACTAAGATTGCCGACGGCGTCTAAGACGCCGCTACCACCGCAGATGCCGAATTGACATCGTGTACAGTACTTTGCCGAATTGACTCGCATTGACATCGTGTACTTTGCCGAATTGACATCGTGTACTGTACTTTGCAACAGCAGCGCTACGACTGCGCAACGTCATTTTATGGGGCAAAGATAGGTCCCAACAGTATTCCTTCCTGTAGCGGCGTGAAACAATCCTAGCTTTATTATGTATGTATGTATGTATGTGTTACAAGCTTCGTACCGAGCTCGTAAGATCCGTCCGAGCCAGAAGGCTCATGGATCGCGAGCACAAAACGCGAAAACAACCAAAACCAGCTTTATTGTAGGGAATGTATGCCAGCTCCGGTACTACAAAGCTCTACTGTGTGGTATAGCATTTGTCATATCAGCAAAATGGCAGGTACATCGGTACAGGGGGTTATCCCCTACTTGAAGAGGGACAATTGATCCCAATGATTTAAGTTTGTGGCATGGTCTATAAGGCCCTAAGGGTTGTGCGTCGCACTTGAGTCGTTCGGACTCCGCTGTAAAAATCGCATACAGGGGGTGATATTGCGACCAGCACTCTGTATTAAGGAGTTCGGGTGTAAGATGTTAAAGTAGAACCTTTACCTTTCTAATAATCCGTAATTGACATATTAGCAGCGATGGCATTAACTATGAAAATATTACTACGCTCTAATGCTTCATCTTGCTGGAATGTCAATGCCCTTCCGCCTGCAATAGTTACGGCCCGTCGTCTTCGGCCATCATGTTCAGCAAGCAGGGCAACCTTCCAACCCAGCTCTCGGAGGATGGAGGTCCTGGAGGTCCGGGAATGGTCTTAAACTTTTTGGCGTTATGGTGATGGGATACCGACATACCGTAGTCCTCAACCATGTTTGTGACCCCTACTATTTACCCTGCCTTTCCATGCCAAGCTCAGACCAATCATAAGCCGACATCCGACCAAAGTCCCGCTTGGGGAACAGTTGCAACACAATGCACCACAACTGGCAAGCAGTGCTAAGAGTATACCGTACTCCCTAACTAATGCACAGGAAGACAAACACGAGTTTTTCTGGGATCGCCCCGTGGCAGCAGAGCACCGTGCGAGGGTAGTACCAACAGCAACCACAACACCGGGTCCTGATAAAGCAACGCCTCGAGGCACTGATGCCCAGGGCAGAGCATCAGCAGATGCAGATGCAACATCCCCAGGACGCCAATCGGCTGTGGGAAGTCCCACAGCATGTCCTGGACCCTTGGGAGCAGCCACAGAACCACCGGCGGTGTCAGAAGCTCCTGCTAGGAGCTGCGTGAGCCTGCCACCAGAGGCTTTCCACCGGATTGCTGGTGCAGGTGGCGTTGAGGACATGCTTCGGGTAAGGAAGCCACGGTCAATGGGTTACTGCCAAGAATGGTCTGGGTTGATACTCGCTTCCATAGATATCCCAGATTCACGCTTGCTCCTGCTGGCGGACATCTCCGCACCTCCGGTTCCGGTCGACCATGGCTCCAGGAATTGCGTCGTGCCGTTGGGGAGCCTGCCGGCGGCGGCGGAAGTAGCAGCGATAGCAGCAATGGAATGTGGAGCAACAGGCCCCTGCTGCCCCTGCTGCCTGCACGCGTCTGTGAGGTTGCCATGAAAAAGTAAGGCAACGGGCACATGCAAGCTAACATCCGTGATAGTAAACCCGTAAACCAATGTGAAGATCGATGCATCAGCCTGTGAGTCTAAGAGTCCAGTTGCAACGTGCTGCTATTTATATATCTATTTCCGATGCTTCATTCAGTCCCTAGCTCCCTACTAAAAGGCCTGCTGGTCCTGTGTCTGGCCCTGCAGAACCGCGGCCTGGGTTCTGGATCCTGCAAGCCAGTCTCAGGGAAGTTCCGAAACCGCGCAGCAAATCGTAGAGCTGCTACTGCACAACATGCGTTGTAGCCAGCTCGCTGGGTTTACGCTGGAGTGCATGGGCTCAGTACTTTGGAGCGTGGGCAGCATGTGGGGCTCATCCGCAGCCCGCAGTAACCAGAAGAGGCACAGCACTAACGACAGCAATACTACTCCTGAACGTTTTCCCCATATAGATATGGAGCTAGGGTCCGACTGTAGCTGCCTGCAGCTGCCAGGTAGCCAGCAGCGGGTCATGCTGCAGGTCGTACAGAAGTGGCTGGCAAGCTCCGAAACCATGGAGTGGCTGGCGAACAAGTCTTACACTACCCGCTTGTCGGATCTCGTGTCGCTGCTGCTGCTCTGTTACTTGTGGCGACGCCAGATATGCAGCAATCCCAGCGGCAGCAGCAGGTGGAAGGAGAAGTGAGCAGAAGCAGGCGTCAACCGGGGCTTGATCCTTGCACAGTCTTTGCTTCGGATACAGGTAGCAGAACAGCAGACGGGCTCAGAGTTGACGTCGGGCCTTCCCTGGACCTTTTGGCTCGTCGTACGGCAGATTTGTTGACTACGTCGTACGGTACGGGCGCGCCGGTGGCAGCTGCAGCGGAGCTTACAGATCTGGCTTGGGCGTTATCTGTGATTGATCACAGGTAGAGTACGGATCCGGGCATCTTTTTGTGTGGGTTTAGATATACTGAGCCACGAGGGAGACCCCTAGCCATTAGAGGCAGTCCAACATTCTGCAGCTGGCATGTTGACCGTGCACCGGTTTGTTTGCAATACGAGAACACGACTCATACATGTAAGGTGGGTTAAGTGCGGCGCTCCTTGACCCGCACGGCTCCATGCAGGTCTGCTGCTACGGCTCAACTAGCCGAGGCAATAGCACATGAAGTGTACCGCCAATTGTCCAACCGCTACAGCCTGCAAGCGCCTTTCGCTGCAGGGGACATCGTTAAAATCGTACAATCCTACGCTCAAATGGGGCTAACCGATGGTAGGTTAGCAGGCGCCCACTGTAGCCCGAATCCTGCCAAGTCACCTCACTTCCTCTCAGTTCCGTACGAGTGGTCGGGCTTTACAGGTCCCGTATCATTGGTAGCCATCCACATGACTTCTTATTGTTGACATTGTCCCTAGCAGTGTTTGCTAGGTGCCGTGTTCCGACCTGTAAACCTGTCTCCCTGCCTTCCCCGACCCACGTACGTGATCCTGGATCCATCGCCTCAGGATCCATCGCTCGCATGTACGACGCGGTTGGCAGTCATGTTGCTAAACGCATTCGCGCTGGTCATGTGGGTGCAATGACGCGTCCTGCGGACTGCGCAGCACTGCTGCAGGTGTGGAAGATGCGTGGTAGACCTATACCGGTCAACTAGGTGCAGGTAGAAATGATTATTAGCCGTCCTCTGCCTTCCATGCGGCCGTAGGTGCGTGTGGGGTGTCCCGTCGGTTTCTCGGACTCCTCAAAAGCTACTTCCCTATCCAGTTGCCATGCTTATATATAGTACATGGGCTTGCGGCCTCCCATGCGTTCCTCGCGGCTTAGTTGTTGAGAACTCCTAACCGTTGTCATCGAGCCCTTTTTTTTCTCCGCCGTCCTTCCATCAGGGTTTCGCTGATGCGGGTCATGTTAGCGTGGTGGTGCCGGAGCTGCTCACAGCATGTGCAATGCAGGTGCGGGCTTGGACACTCCGTGATGCACCACATGTCCGGTTCCCACGTGTGCATATTCGAGCGTGCTTGCCGTACACGTGACGCCAGCGAGGCCGAATGAATTGTGGAGGGAATAGGGTTTAACAACAATGGTGTTAGGGCATGCGTGGATGGGCGGTTTTCAAGCATAATTTTAATCCTCGCTAACCGCCATGCGCCCTGCCGCTTGCTTTTCCTCGCTTGGGCCAACAGATTAGTCAGGAGGTAGCAGCCTTCAATGAGGCGTCGGAGGCCGCACCCGCAACAACTGCTGCTGCCGTCATTACTTCTGCCGCTGAATGCTTCAATCCTCCGCATTCGGGCGCCACAGCCGCAGCCGTCACCTCCAGCGGTAGCAGCAGCAGCGCTGCTGTTGCCTCCGCTGACGCCGACGCCGTCACTTCCCGCAGTAGCAGCAGCAGCAGCATTGCCGCCACAAGTGGCAGTGGTGTCAGCACCAGAGAAGGCAACAGCAGCACCCGCGGAAGCAGCATCGCAAGCCGTTTTCGCCAGGCACACGTGCCGTTGTGGCACCGGCAACCACCACCGCCGCCTCCGAGCGCCGTTGCACAAGCCTGGTACAATTCGTGTCTCAGCCCAGGACAAGCCATTGCCGTGCTATCCTCGTACACCGTCTTTGGCTACTACCCAGGGCCGGCGTTGCTGGATTCCCTACTGCTTGCCGTACGGCCCCAACTGCCGTACATGGCAGTTTGTGAGGTCTCGGAGCTTTTGGTGACACTGGCGGCGATGCGGCACGTGCCTGGACCTCAGGTATGACTTAAATCCTGAAAAGATAACCCTTTTATGGTATCAATATAACAGGTTCTGCGTTTTGAACAATCAGGCGCCATTGTAAAGGGGCTAGTTGCTCCCGCTGCCCCATGCGCACCTCTAGTGTTTCAACTACTTGTGACTATTCGTGCATCTCCCGACATTCAGACGCTGGAAATCATGGCGACGGCGGCTCTATTCCCGTGTACGGCAACGTGCACCACAAGCCCTTGTACGGCGGCGGCGGTAGCTACTGTCCCGGGGTCCACAAGGCCAACGCCTGAAGCTCCGCAGCCGTTGCATGGGAGGCGGCCGCGGCAAGAGCAGCAACCCGAGGTGGCGGACGTGGCTGTGCAGCGGCTCAGGTCGCTTTGGGCGCTTGTAATGATGGGCTGGCGGCCGGAGGCACAAACAGTGGAGGAGGTAAGCAGCGTGGCAGGGCGTTACCACGTAAGGGGTGGTTGATAAGCTCGAAGCATCGCGTAAGCGATTAACAAATAGCTGGGAAGGCCACACGGCTGTGTCCAATCCTTCACCGCACCACCGCTCTTCATTCGCCCTAGCCCTCAGGTACGCGTTGCGATAGGTTTGCTTACCGGTGGCATTGCTGTGCATCATGCGTTTCATGCCAACTTAGGCTTTCCTCATGCTGCAACGTGGCAGGTGTTGGCATCCGTGTTGCCCAGCTGCGACGACGACGTTGGCGACGACGCCTGCACGCCCCTTGACTGCGATGACGCGGCCCGGCTGTTCAGCCTGCTTGCCATGCTTCCCCAAGGGGGGCTGACTGTCAAGCGGTTTGGCCTGGGCTGCATAAGAGCCGCGGATGCACTTCGCAAGGCAGCGGAGATGGTGGACGGAGGCGGCAGCAGCAGCATCGGCGGTGGTGCGAGCAGTTCGGTTTTCCCCGGCAGGCGTGGCGGTGGTGGTGGTGGTGGCGGTCAGGCACCCTGGCGGCGGCACGGCGCTGCTGTGGGTAACGCGGAGATGAGCGCGGGGGAGGCCTCCGAGATGAATTTAACAACTCTTAGGAGGACAATGTGCGTTGATGATGGAAATGCTCCTTAGTGGCGGTACCGTACATGCTTAGGAGAGAAGGTAATAGGAGTATCTCCGCACGTTACTACTGTGTGCGTGTGCAGTTGTGTATGGTCTCGTCGCTCTTACTTTGGGTGTGACCAGATGCAGGAGTGTCCTGAGGTAGGGGTTGCTGAGGCGGACAATCCCGAACTGCCCCACTTACACGACCGAGCTGCCCCACCCCCCAGGAGCTGTTGTTCGCTGCGGGGGCCGCCATGGCTCTGCTGGGCTGGGAGGGCTGGCAGATGGGTGAGCAGCTGATGCCGGCAGGCGTCTTCCGCAGGGCGGCGGCGGCAGTGCGGGCGGTGCTGGCCAAGCCGTACGCGGGCGTGCAGGAGCGGTAAGTGGTTGGTGGTTGGGTTTGGGGGTAACACGGGCTCCCAAGAGGGACCCTCCGGGCAGGGAGTGCTTTCTGTGGATCACCACGCGGCATTGTTGAATAAAAGAGTGTTACAGTGATCCCGAAACAGAAGGCAAGGGAGAGCGGGCGGTATCCAGCCCTACACTGCAAGGAAGAAAGCAGAGCCCCATTGGTGTTTTGGCTGTGTGCTTGAGTGCATGTTCGGCGTGTTAAACAAGATTTGGCATGCAGGATTCCTGTAATGGCGTTCCCTCTTTTGATACGTTAAAAGCCATTTGCGTAAAAGGCCTATTTACCGCCTTTCAATTTTGGTGTTGCCGTACCTGTGCCTGATTGGAGGGGTGTAACGCGCAGGGGTCAGAGCAATTGTTTTCTGTATTTTGCAGCCTAGGGAATAGTATCCTAAGAGCCTCGGGGTTCAGTGACGAACAGCCATAAGCGTCGCGGCGGTGGAAGCAAAAGCTGAAGCTACGGTGGACTTGGACGAGGGGAAAACCAGGGGGATTTTGAGACCCTGCGAAACCCGTTGTTTTGGGGGTGGCACGCGCAGGCCCCAGACCATTCAATTTATATTATGCGTTGATGCCAGTTTTGCGCGATGTTCACTGGGAGGCACGGTACAGTCTCTTAGATTGACGTAGCGAAGGAAGGTACGATAACCTGCCTCGCCTATCGCTCGTATAATCCACAGGTGCGTCACCGAGGCTGCTCGCGCGCTTGCGGCAGTGGGCTGTCGAGACGTCACCAGGTCTAGCAACGTGCTAGTGGGCAGTGCTCACATCGGCAATAGCAGTAACAACTGCTGCGGCAACGGCAGCAGCAACTCAGGGAGGCCAGCAGTAGCACATTGCGAGGACCAGCAAGACGACGGAGGGGAAGACCTGGAAACTTACGAGCCGTTAGAGCTGGGTGTTATCAGCGGGTTCCTGCCGATGCCTGTTGCCTGTCCCAAGGCTGCTGCTACCACAATCGGCGCTTGCACCGTAGTGGCGACAAGGGTCGTGGTTGACATTTGCACGCGGCAGGATTACGCCAGCAATGCGTCGGATGCACAACCACTCTGGGGCCGGGCAAGGTTACGACAGGCGTTGCTGGCATCATTGCAAGGAAGTAGTGGTGAAGAGGAAATGACGGCAGGACGGGTGCTCGTGAGACTGCTTGTACTGGACGAGCAGAAGCTGCTGTCTTCCATGCAGCAGGCCGGCAGAAAATCTTCGACTGGGGCGGGGTTGACAACGTCATCATCACAGGTAGCGGTTGAACCGAGCTTTGCATATGTGGAATGGGCATTGCAGACGGCTGTAGCGTAGGTCGTTATCTGCGTAGTGGCTAGGTTTGCTGGGATGAGCTTTGACGGAGTTGGTATGGAGGGTACACGCTACCGGGCTGGTGGCCCCGTCCTCGTCCTCGCGAGGTGTTGTGATTCATGTAAGTAAAAAGTATCTGTTGCTACGGGGCTAGCTCACAAACAGCAGGGTGGCCTACATGGTTTTGGGCCTCATACATGCGCGGTTCGTGTGGTAGCAAAAATGGCCGCAAAGCCGTATGTGCCCCGCTCAGTGTCTTGGGAAGGGTGTATACTAATTCTCACACAAATTCCAATTACTGGTGTATAGAAGGATTCCTGGCGGACCCGCTTGTTAGGAACTTTACCACTACCACTTCACGGCCAATTACTTCTATCATGCTTTAAGGCGCATGCCGGGCCACTGCTTCGTTCCGCATCTCACGCAATGTAACTTAGTATGTGAATGGGTCATGCTGTGGGGAAGGGACCCACTGGCCTTCCCCACCGCCAAACGTGTAAGCCCATCCCTTGCCCTTCCCGGAAATGGACTCCTACATAATCACGGAGCCGAAATGACGTGGGACTTATTACGAACCTCCCCCCCTCGACTAATCCTGGGTGTATACGGGGGGTCTTTCCTTCTTCCCCCCAGACGTAGGGTTGGTTACCCGCACGTTAGTTGAGGATGGTGTCTGGGTGCTGGTTGTTGTGTGATGTGGCCTGCATGTTGTTGTTCTTTCGTCTGGCGCACAAACAGCACACAGCCGTAACCTGCAAAGTTTACCTAGTAAACTAATGACTGGAATGCAAGGGTGCGTGGGATGAAAAGTTGGACATGGAATGATGTAGTACAAACAATGGGGAGCCGGAGCAAATAACCGGCGCAAACAGGGGGTAAAAGGAGGTGAGGGACTGGTGTGACAAACGTGTGTGTGTGCCCCTTTGGACAATGCGCACAACGTTACAAGTGGGGGTTGCGCAGTATGTGGAAGCTTAGGTGTTGAACAGGTTCGTAAACCCTTTGCAAAAGCCCTAGGAACACATAGCGAAGTCTCCCACGGTAGAGCACGTTGCAATTACCGCTTTCCGGCCCATGTGCGTCAAGAACAGCCACATGCATTGTGCCTGTGCAATCAACGCTGTTTCCTTTTCGATGGGCAACGGACGCCCATCCATCAACCGTGCACTCCTACACATGGCGGGGTCTCCCACGGTAGAGCACGTTGACATTACCGCTTTCCGGCCCATGTGCGTCAAGAATAGCCACATGCATTGTGCCTGTGCAATCAACGCTAGCTGTTCGCTTTTCGATAGGCAGCAGCAACGGGCGCCCATCCATCAACCGTGCACACCTACACATGGCGGGGTCTCCCACGGTAGAGCACGTTGACATTACCGCTTTCCGGCCCATGTGTATGTGTAACAATTGCGCATGGCACATGTGCAGCTGCTGCTGCTCTTTTCTCCATTGCGAGTCAGCAACATCTATGCCAGAGGCGTTTGGCATGCACCAGGAAGTTTTGCTTTGAAGGTCATTGTATACTGATTATGGTTCTTTATTGGAGAGCCTTTCATAAAAGTGCCTTCACGGCCGCGTGCGTCCGCAATGCTTTTCCCAGACACTAACGAACAATTGACTTGCTTCGTTTCCTTGCCCACACGTATGCCGACTGTTAAATCTCTGTTGAATATGTTGTGAGATAGACGCATTGCAGCGTACA